AGAGAGTCTCTTTAGTAAACAATTCTGTTAAATATTCTTGAAGTTTTTACCATTTTTTCCTAAGATATCTATCGGTAAATAAATAAATTTCAATCTATTTTCAAAGGAAAAAAAGATGGAGAATATATTAGATACTAGAGTTTCAAAATTTATAGTAAACGGAACAATTGCAGCGATCAACGCACGCTAGTGCACGCGCAAATATCATTTATTTATTTAATTTCGCTTTTGGGAATCGATGGATTTTGAATCCCCTTGAATGTACGCGTTTGTACATTGTCATACATTCAAAAAATGCACAGATGCTCATATAGATCCTTGTTGAAATTACACTATTTACATTATTTGAACTATTGTCCTCATCTTTGTCGCCATATTAGGAAAATAGTCAGAATAATGTAAATAGTGTACATAATACCTCATCTCAGAACTATAGACAGAAATTGTTCAAATTAATTGAAACAAAATGAATAATTCCGTTATTATATTTTTTTAGTATTTTTCCAATGAAACATGACCCAGTGCACATGTTAGTACGTCCATTCCACGAAGTCGTTCCATGGAGATTGACCACAGATTCTCACTTGCATTTAAATCAGGAAAATGAAACACCCCTTCACGCCACGTCATCACTTCCCACCTATGGATTAATTAGTAAGACTTGTATCACTAAAACATTTATTATCCTCAAATAATAAAATAAAATTAGATAAAATAGCGTAAATATGTGTAGTTTTCGGCATTATATAACCAACAGAGGATGATATGCCACGGAAAAAAACAAACAAGCACAAAATGTGTGTAAGAAGACACATACACCCAGGTGCAAATTAATTGAAACAAAACGAATTTTTTAAGTTTTTCTTTTGAATAAAACATGACCCACTGCACATGTTAGTACTTTCTATGTGCATCCCACGATGTCCTTCCTTGTAGGTTGACCACAGATTCTCGATTGGATTTAAATCAGGAGAATTTGCGAGCCACTCGATAGTACTTTCATTTGCTGACTAGTAAGTCTTGCCAGTGTGTGCATTCAGCGTTACAATTTTCGTACGCTTTCTTGTGGTAACGTACATCGCAGACAATGGCCGTAGGACAACTGATCGAGAGTCGAGACAGTAGTGTCTGGGCGTGATGAAAATCTGATGCAATCATGGATGACGCAATATTTTTCAAGGCCAAACAAATTTCATCATACACCCGTAAAATATATTCATATTACTGCTCACCACTGCAAATGACCTAATCTGAGGGAAAAATAGAAATCGATTACACCCTGTCAATCCAGTGGGTCTAAAACTGGGCGTATGGTGAAAGAAAGGAAACTAAAGCGATTGTTTCAATTAATTTGCACAAGGGTGTATATATATATATATATATATATATATATATATATATATATGAAAATTATATATAAAATTTTAAAATTTAACATAGAAGTCAAAATTTTACAAATTGTGACAGTCTGTTTTCATGCTAAAATGCAAAAATAGTATTTTCTGAGAGCAATCGAACTTGTGGCCTTTGGGATGATTGCATTTTGATTTAAATATTCTCAAACAACTATCATTTTGTTTTATATATCCTATATTGTATTATAAATAAATTTTTTATATATAAAAATTTCTTAACTAGTATTGTTTTAGATTTATATTTTCAAATAACGGAACAACAATCTATCTCTACATATGTTTACCATTATTGAAATTTATTCCCATAAATATAGCATATAAATTGGTTTGAAGATAAATCAGTTGTTTAACTGAGATCTTTGTGAACAATGGCTATCCGTTGAACATTGTTCAATCGGTTATTCGAGATGAGACCGCCAGGTTCAACAAAATCAAACCTGCTTCAGTAGGTAAATGTCCGGTCTATCTTCGTTTACCGTGGTTGGGTAAGATTAGTGAATCCTTCGCCAAGCGTATTTCATGTAGTTCACGTGAGTGTTATTTTGCAGCGAACGTTCGTGTTGTCTTTCAAACTAAGTCCATACTTTCATCTATGTGTAAAGATGTTCTATCCCCCACCATATTAATTCTGTTATTTACTATTTCAAATGTAGTTGTGGATGCGACTACATAGGTAGAACGACACAGCGGTTGGACGTGAGAATTAAACAACACGTACCTGCGATAATACTAAACAAAAATTTTCTTTGGGCGATACCATTCGTAACACGTATGGGTCTTCCATTGCGGATCATTTTATAAAGAATCCAACTTTGCGATGGATTTCAGTGAACTGGTTTTCCGTCTTGGCCAGTTCGCACTCACTTTTCCATCTTAAGGTGCTGGAGTCGCTTTACATCAGGTCTAGGCAGCCTGCTCTTTGCAAACAAAGAGATTGTTTGCTTGGACTTGCTGTTCTGCGATTCTAGCAGCTTGGTTGGTATAATTTTAATATATATATTTTTTTTTCCTTCCCTGTCCATTCATTCATGTCACCCATGACAGACTTTTTTCTTTTCCTCATAATCTAAATTCCCCGTTAAAAGTTCTGACGAGAGGGACGAAACCGGTCGACTGGTGTGTGTTTTTATTTAAACTTATCATGGCCTAAATACTACATTTCTAGTTTTTAATGCCTTAATACGCTTTTGTACCGTTTCAAACCTATTTAAATATATATATATATATATTAAATAGTTCTGTTATAATTAACATTGAAAACTATTTTTCATAATTCTATAGACGTCATTTATTTATATTTGTATACAATCGCTCAGATATGCACCTACCTATATTTTCCCATTCGAATTATATATATATATATATAAATATGTAAAAACCAAACAAATGTGTGTGTGTCGGTGTGTGTGTGTGTGTGTGTGTTAAAAAAATGTTTATAACATTTTAAAAACAAGATTTTTTGACATATTGAAAAATGTTTTTTGAATAATTTCATCCGTTAGGACTTCATCAATTGGGTTTGTTTACGTTGCTGTGATTACACATACGCATTTACAAGAGACGCTGGCAGTTTTCAAAAAACGTAGAAAAAATTTTTTTTTGCCGGACTATTCTAAACCAATTTCGAAACTATGATTCTTTTTATTTTTTTTTTTTTTGTTTCCATCATCCTTGTTATTAAATCTCCCACATTGTGATAAAAGAAGATCTGCCAAGAATGGTTTTACGTTGTTAAGAATCTGGACGCTAATTCATCCATGAGGTAAATGTGCGTCCATTTAGGTTTTTAAAATGCAATCGAAGACTTTTCTGACGTGCTCTCGAAAAATCAGGTCTTCTCAGGAACGTTAAAACTGTAAAAAATTTCAGGAAAACTATTTTCAAAATCTCAAAAACCTCATTTAAATATCTGGATTTCCAAAAACAACTAATCTTGTATCTGAACTATACAGACATTTTTCAGTCATATCATATAATTTTTTTTTAAACATTTTAAAAGCAAATTCGTTAAAGCCGCTAAGATGCAAGGGTTACTGAAAGCGAAAAGAATCTGAGTAAAACCATTATTAAAAAATAATAATGAAAAAGAAAATCAAGGAAATTTATTAACTTTTAAATTATAGTTCAACATTTCAACCGGTGTTGCCCGTGCTTGATTCAAAAATCGTACGACTCGTACAGCAAAAAATCACATGACTCTAAAATATTTTTGCCTTTCCTTGCCTTTAAAGGATTCCAACCATTTGCCGTGCTGATGTTGCTACATGCCTTAATTCTTACCTATCTCACACTGCGGATTTTTCTAAGCTCTATACTAAACATTAAATCTGTTACGAAAAAAGAACTAAACAAAATTAACACAAAACGATCAGCTTTAAAAAGGACTCGTAACTGGAAAAACCGAATGAAAAAGAATGTTAACAACTAATACTTTTTCACACCCAACCCAGTTCTGCGGAATCAGAATCAACGATGAGTTTAAGCAAGCGAATCAGCCAATTGGAAAAAAGTACCATTCAGATTTAAATTTTTCCCACTTGTGACGAATGCAGCTATCGATTTTTTTTTTTTCATGAAAGCATGCTAGTTAACATTCGTGTCAAATCCTGAGCAAGTATTAAACTCTCAAAATAGCCAATAGAATCTTTTCTGCCTATTCGTGGCAAATTAGCTATCATCAAATTTCTCACTCTGGCCATTAGAAAATGGAAAACTGCCGTAGAAGCATGAAAAAATTGATTATTTCTACTATCGATGGGAGTTGGGAAATGCAAAGTCGGTCTTGGCCTTCCCAATAACTTTAGGAACATGTGCATAAAAATTTTGTGCAAATCCGTCGAAAATTGCATCTCCGTGCATTCGTTACAAACACACACACATCCCTTCCTTTTATAGATAAGATAGAAAGATTCTTTAATGAGCTATGATATCAAAATTTAATAATATTAATCAAAGTGTCTGTTTTTTCTTTTTAATAACATACCACATTTTCCAGCTCAGATTTTACTTAAAGAAAACACTAAGGTACTGGTCAAACATGTGAATAAAAAATTTATAATTAAATTTTAATTCAATTCTATATTAACATGATATTATAATACTAAATTACCCGTGAAAATTTCAACGTTTTCCTATTTGAATTTCTGATTAATCTCAATTCGTGAGTTAATGATTGAATAATAATTAGATAGTTCTACGACAAAAAAATATCCGTATGTCAATTTCCCGATTGCATCGTTAAAAAATTGTATTTTTAATAACAATATAAATATGAATGCTGGTCGTTAATTAAGGATTTTGGAGTACAAGATTTTTAAATTGACAATTTTTTTTAATTTCACTGAAACAGACTTTAAACATACAGGAGTAATTATCGTTTCTATTTTTTATTATTTCTTTCTTTTGAAATTTTTTTTTTTTCTGTTGCAAAACATTCTTTCTCATCTTTTTCTCTCTTTCTCATCTTTTCTTTTTTCTTTCTTTTTTTTTCACCCACTTCATCTTATATTTTTTCCCAATTCTTTCTTTCTTTTCTTTCTTTCTTTCTTTTCTTTCTTTCTTTCTTATGCATTTTCTTTCTTTCGTATGCACTTTCTTTCCTTCTGTTGCACTTTTTCATTTTTTTCCTCATCTTTCTTTCTTTCTTTCTTTCTTTCTTTCTTTTCTTTTCTTTTTTTTTTTTTTTTTTTTCTCATGTCTTTTTTTCCAACTCTTTCATTTCACATTTTCTTTTTTTCTTTCTTTCTTTCTTTCTTTCTTTCTTTTCTTTTCTTCACCCATCTCATGTCTTTTCTTCCAACTCTTTCTTTCACATTTTTCTTTCTTTCTCATCGTCTTTCTTTCTTTCTTTTCTTCTTTCTTTTTCTTTCTTTCTTTCTTTTCTTTCTTCACCCATCTCATGTCTTTCTTCCAACTCTTTCTTTCACATTTTTCTTTCTTTCTCATCGTCTTTTCAAAAACCGCTTTTTTCTTTCTTTCTTTCTTTTTTCTTTCTTTCTTTTCTTCAAATCATCTCATGTCTTTCTTCCAACTTTTTCTTCATTTTTCTTTCTTTCTCATCGTCTTTCTTTCTTTCTTTTTTTTTTCTTTCTTCTTCACCCATCTTTAAATGTCTTTTTCTTCCAACTCCTTTTTTCACATTTTTCTTTCTTTTTCTCATCGTCTTTCTTTCTTTCTTTTATTTCTTTCTTTCTTTCTTTCTTCACCCATCTCATGTCTTTTTTCCAAAAAAATTTCTTTCACATTTTTCTTTCTTTCTCATCGTCTTTTCTTTCTTTCTTTTTTCTTTTTAATTCTTTCTTTCTTTTCTTTCTTTATCCACTTTACCCATCTCATGTCTTTCTTCCAACTCTTTCTTTCAAAACATTTTTCTTTTTTTTTCTCATCGTCTTTCTTTCTTTCTTTCTTTCTTTTCTTTCTTTCTTTCTTCACCCATCTCATGTCTTTTTCTTCCAACTCTTTCTTTTCACATTTTTTTCTTTCTTCATCGTCTTTCTTTCTTTCTTTCTTTCTTTCTTTTTTTCTTTTCTTTCTTCACCCATCTCATGTCTTTCTTCCAACTCTTTCTTTCACATTTTTCTTTCTTTCTCATCGTCTTTTTTCTTTTTTTTTTTTCAAAACGGAATTATCCATTATTTATGTTGTATTGACGGGAGATGTTAAACATTTATTTCTTTTTCATTTTCTCATTGAAATCAAGTAGCGTCTCTGATATGTCTTTTTCCGTCTTTCCACACAATCAAAACAAAATAGTCTATTATTTGTCAGGAGATTGACAGGACGTAAAATACGTACGTGCTAACTAATGAAGACCCTTGACATATCAGAATTACAAGATTATTCACTTTTTTCTATGGATATACCCTTTATTTTTCTCACGATCACTTTTTTTTATTTTCCTATAATGCAAATCGCCATATTTTCATTGTATTTTTTCATCTTACTATATACAAATGCATTGATTTGTTCACGGATTCCCCAGAATCATTTATATTATTCGGACAATTATTGCCATATTCGCAACGTTTCGGCCGTTGTAATCTCCGGCTTTCTTCAGGTAATTGTAATTTCAGATCGGACACTTTATTTCGTCTACTGGAGTAGATTGTTCTAGTTCCACGTGCCAAGAAAAAGAACTTACAACGGCTGAAACGTTGTGCATATGGCAATGAAGATGAGGATAACAGTCCGAATAATGTAAATAATTGCGTAATCATAACCTCATCTCAGAATATAGATAGATTTATTCACGATAGTTATGTCTACATTTTTTTAACATCCAACAGATTTTCACAAATGGCATCTTATATACCGCCTATACTCATGTATGATTTCTTTTTTCTTTATTTGTTTATGTCCTTTCAGGGCGTAGGCGATCATGGCTAAATGTACCCTCTATCCTTGCAGCTCTCAACAAGTTCCTTCCCTACGCTCCCTCCCACAGACCAAAATTCTGTCATCCACTTGCTTAAGCCCGCCAGGTATATCACGTTGTTTTCCCTTGTTTTTTTCCCTCTATTCGGCCCGTAAGTAACAGCTTCTTCAGGCCCACCTTCCTCATTATGTGTCCCAGAAATTTCAAATGCCTCTTTCTGATGTTAAATATAAGCCTCCTCCTTCTTTGCAACATCGTTGACACTCATTTAAATGATGATATCCTTAGCATCCTTCTGTAGAACCACATCTCCGTCGCCTCGAGTTTCTTCATCTTTGAGGAAATCGTCCAACATTCGAGGCCGTAAAGAAGGACAGATATCACGTAACAGCTCAGTATTCTTTTCTTTTGTTACCAAAGAAATCCTCCTGTCTCGCAATACTCTGCCCAGCTTTTGGAATGTGTCCTTGGCCATCCCAATACGTCTACGGATCTCAGTGTCGCATTTATCGCCCTCTGTCAAAACGCTTCCCAGATATTTAAACTTCCGATTCTTCTTGTTTCCTACCTGTTCAAATCTCATTTTCATTTCGGTTCATCATCTTAGTAATGACCATGCATTCTGTTTTCTTGTAGTTTATGCTTAGTCCTTTCTTCTCACTCCCCGTTGCTACCTTCTGTAGGAGATTTTGTAAATTCATTTCGATGTCTGCTATCAGTACAATGTCATGTGCGCATCTTATGTTGTTAAGATCGTGGCCCCCAGTACTACATCCTGGTAGGGTTTACAATTCTGTCAGAATTGCCTCGCTGTATAGGTTAAACAGGTCCGGTGAGAAGACGCATCCTTGCCTTACGCGCCTTTTTATTTTTGTGTATTCACTGAACTCGTTGCCTATGCACATGCATGTTGTTTGCTGCCAGTATAGGTTCTTGATTATTCTGATGATGTTACATATAGGTATCATTTTTGTCTCATAATATCTAAAACTTTGTCCTTATTCACACGTTCGGTTCATGGTATCCCAGTATCCTTTCTGTTGCTTCAAGTCACTTTTTCATCTTTGACTAGTATCTGTCTATATTTCTGAGATGAGGTATTATGTCCGTTAATTACATTATTCGGTCTATTGTCCTCATCTTTGCCGCCATATTTATTAAAACGTTTCGGCCGTTGTACGCTCCGGCATTCTTCAGTATCTGTCTATACTTCTGTGATAAGGTATTATGAGCACTACTTACATTATTCGGACTATTGTCCTCATCTGTGTCGCCATGTTTATTACAACGTTTCGGCCGATGTACGCTCCGGCCTTCTTCAGGTGGTTAGAAGGTCGAACTGAACCCTTTATTACGCTCACTGCGGTAGACTGTTCTACACAGATGGCCTCAAGTACGCATTGCACAGTGGATAAAGGCGTTGGTTAGATCCAGTGACAGGACTCAAAGAGTGTGAGTTCAATACCCAGTTAAGGCAGTGGAGAACTTTCAGAAGGAAAGTTAACAAGAGATAACTGATAACTGACATCCATTAAACATGGCACGTGGAACTAGAACAGAACTAAAAACCGTTAGTATTGGCGGCCACAATCTTAACAACATAAGATACGCAGATGATTAGATTGTCCATCACTCACAGCTACACAGGAGGACATATATCGCGTAAGAGTTTAGTACACTTTTCCATGTTTCTAGCGAAGTTTGCTGTCTCTTAGTACGCTGCATAGCTTTTGGAATTCATATTTTGCTATCTCAATTACAGAGATAGCCAAATTTGAATTTCAAAAGCTAATATACTTCGGATTTCAGTGTCAAACTTTCCGTCCTCAGTTAAAAGACTTCCCAGTTATTTAAACCTCAGCCTTTGTTTGATTTTGATAGTTTCGATTTTCCCTTAGCAATTTGGGATAAAATCTTTTGCTAACAGCCAAGTATTCTGGCTTCTTGGAGTTGATGTTTAATCCTTAAAAAAAAAAACTTATATTTCAACCCCTAGCATTTCAAAATAAACAAAAAAAAAAAATTATGAATAATATTATATAAAAATTATATAGCAAATTCAAAAAATGAACTAGTCGATACTGTTCAGAAAAACTTCCTTAAAATATTTCTTACTGCCTAAATACACAAACACACACACAACAACATTAACAACCACAACACATAATCATTGCATATATAATATATATATATATATATATATATATATATATATATAGTTGGATTGAAGTGAGTTTTTGACTCTGGGTTTCACGCTATTTGTGGTCGTCAGACAAACTAATTAATTTTAAAATTTTGGATTTATATATGGTTGCGTATATCGGTGTTTTTATGGTAGTGGGAAGAAAAAAAATCATCGGACGCAAACATACACGCGCGTTAACTCATTGGCGTACGCAGACATAGATACATGCACGCCCGCTCATTGGAACCCATATATGAATAGTGTTGGACTCGGCAGAATATGATATTATATATATATATGTTTAACGTTCTTTTTTATAGATACAAGTATTTAAGTAAATGCTCTGTTTTATAATAAACAGTATTAAATAACATTTACCGGCCTGAATTTCCGTGAAATTTTCATAGAAAATATTCGTTCTTTGACAGGATTCGAACCTGTATCCTATACGGAACCGTCATTTACGCTGACGTGCCTTACCGATCTCGCCACAAAGAAGCGTTCGGTAGACAAGGTCAATTTACTGCTTATAAACTTCAATCTTCCATGAATCTCGTACATTCATAACTGATCTGGCGTATCAAATGTAAACAAATGACGTCATATATTAAGAAATGGACAAAGTCCGACAATTTATTTATTAAAGACATTTTTATGTTTAACGTTCTTTTTTATAGATACAAGTATTTAAGTAAATGCTCTGTTTTATAATAAACAGTATTAAATAACATTTATATATATTTCAAGCAATCTGACATATTTACGTTTGGTAGGACTGATTCCATCTATAAGAATTCTCTCCTCTCAAAATTCGACCGGCAACTCATTTGATATTAGCCTTCCGTTTCAGCAAGAAACACCATTCTATGATCATAATGATAACACTTAAATCGAAACTAATGGCGTCAGCATGGGAATCCCATTATATTCTGCTTTCTCTAAATGTTACATACCATTTATTGAAAACAAAGTGTTTGTAACAAATGACAAAACGCAAATCTACTCAAAGTACGTTGGAGACATTGTTTTTATAAAATATATGGACGTTATTAAGAATATAAATCAACTTTTGAAAAACTCCACGCCAAAAGTTACATAAAAACTGAAGGTTAATAACAAAATCCCATTCTTTTTTGTCGATATAGAACTAAAATGAAAAGTTTTTACCATATAGCAGTCTAAAAAATAAAGACACCAGTAAGAACCGTTGTCTTCTTAACTATGATAGCCAATGTCCGTTATCAGTTATAGTAAACTTTACTAAAGACAGCACACCTAAATTCCAATTTAGAAATAAGTTTCCCAAAGACAACACCGAAAACCAAAAGATTTTATCCTTACAAAAAATACATGACACAACAAAATATCAGATATTTTACTGCAATGAAATGAGAAATGAGAGAGAGAGAGTCTTTGCACTCCCTTACTATCTCTAAACGGAACATGTTTAAGAATGTTGTAAAAGCCAAATGAAAAATAGTTAAATTTCCATTTTCTGTCATATTCAACGAAATATATTTAAAAGAAATATGTCATATCTATAATATATATATATATATATATATATATATATATATATATAAATATATAAATATAAAAAAATTCAAATATAACATGATGAAACCTTTTCAAAATCTGGTACTACGTTTAAATTCATTTCTCGTTAACATATATAAGTTAATCAAAATTATCAGGGGGATTATTTTAAAAATATACGTTAGGCCTGTATATTAAAAAATTAAATATATATATATATATATATATATATATATATATATATATATATATATATATATATATTCGTTTCATATATATGTCCTCATCATGCCATTTTTAATGAACGTCAAAATTTCTCTCTGAAAGTTCTCCAATCTGCCTTAACCTTTGGGTATTAAAATCACAAAAATTGAGTCCTGTCACTGGATATAACCAACGCCTTTATCCACTGTTGAATGTGTCCTATGAGGATATATGCGTATGGATTTTTTTTATTATTATAATAACTAATGCCATGGCACGTGGAACTAGAACAGTCTTTTAGTGAGCGAAATAAAGGGGTTCAGTTCGACATTCCAACTAAAAAGAATTTCCGAAAGGCGTACA